GTGTGTGTACATGTATGTGTGCACCTGTGTGTATGTGTGTGTGTGAGAGAGGAGACCAGGCATCTTACCCTCCACCCCACATTGATGTGTGTGTACATGTAGGTGTGTGTGTAGAATCAGGCCCCCTCCACGCTACATGAATGTGAATGCATGCGAATGTGTGTGTGTGTGTGAGAGAGAGAGAGAGGACAGCCAGGGTGTCTTACCTTCCACACTACATGGATACATGGATGCAACCGTGTCTGCCATGTGTGTGTACACAGATGTGTACTCATGGGCACAAGGGGAGCCAGAGCTCAGGCTGCACTGAGGAGTAATTGCAGCCACCACCGGGTTGGGACTATGAATAGATGTTTCATATGGATAATTTTCATTTTGAAATGCAGACTTCTCCTTTGATTTAAACACTCAGTTTCTGTATTCAGGCATTTCCCCCTGGATCTGTTCAATGCTGCTTCCCTTATACTAGTGACCCCTTCCTTGAAAACAGCAGTTTCCTAATCCTCAGAGCTTTGCTCCTTTGATCTTGGCTCCCACCCTACAGGGACCAAGGGGAGGATCAGAGGCTAAAATGCCAGCAGGAGTATAAATCGGCCCGAGCCCCTTTGCAAAACTGTTGCGTGAAATCCATTAATGCTGAACATATGTCTGTCCTGTGGCCCCGCAAGAAGGGCCCTGGTGGTGCAGTGATTAAGCACTAACCAAAAGGTCGGTGGTTCGAACCCCTGCTGAGAATTTCCATTTCCACCCCAGATCTACTGAATCAGAATCTACATTTTAACAACATCCCACATGATTCTTACGGATCACTGAGGAGCTTGTTAAAATGTACATTCTGATTCAGTATACCTGGAGTGGAAATGCAAATTCTCAAATATAAATTCAAATTCACTGCCATCGAGTCAACTCTGACTCATAGCGACCCCCCATTGGGTTTCCGAGGCTGTAAATCTTTACGGAAGTAGATTGCCCCATCTTCCTTCTGTGGAACAGCTGGTGAGTTTGAACTGCTGACCTTCTGGTTAGCAGCCAAATGCCTTATCCACTACACCACCAGAGCTCATTCTCATCAGGGGGTAAAATTGAAAAGAACTGGTTCAAATCCCTGGTTCAAACCCACCAGCCACTCCATGGGAGAAAGATTATAGCCTTGAGAATGCTACGGGGCAGTTCTACTCTGTCCTATAGGGTCACTGTGAGTAGGACTTGACTTGGTGGCAGTGTGTTTGGTTTGGGTGTGCCAAGTGCCCCCAGAGCTGCATCAGATCCGGAATCTCCCTGGTTCATCTTCATCTCCCGAAACTGCCTCTGGGGCTCTGTCCCCACCCATCAGTCTTATCTGGGGGACAGGGGTGCTGACAGGGGTTACCTGGAGTCACACACTGCTGTCTCTACAGGCCAGGGAGAGGCAGGGCGTGTGCCTGCCTGCACCCTCTCCTCCGGCTCCTGCCCAGCCATGTGCACCTGCAGCAACGGCATTGTGGACTGCCGCGGCAAAGGCCTCACTGCCATCCCTGCCAACCTGCCTGAGACCATGACGGAGATGTGAGAGCAGGGCAGGGTGGGCAGGGGCAGCACAGGCTCAGGGACATGGGCCCCTCTGGCCTGGCCGGGCTCTGGCAGTCCAGGGCTGAGCTGAAGCTGGCACCACCCAGGGCTTGCCCCTGGGCTCTCAGTGGCAGATGGGGACAGTTTGCCCAGGCTTGGAAACCCCCAGAGGGTGGGGGTGGCAGTGGCCCTCTGTGGTCCCTTTGTCCAGCCCTGCTGGGCTCCAAGTGAGCCTGCCTGCATCAGTTCTGAGTCTCAGCATCCTTCATGGCCCATCTTAGCCCTGGAAGCCTGGGATACTGGAGCTCAAATCAAGACTCTCTTTTTCTCTGCCTCAGGCCACTCCACCTCAGGGGCCCGGGAGAGAGATGGGAGGGAGTTGGAGCAGGAGAGACACGGGGGTTGGTGAGCTCGGCAGGCAGCATCAGGGCTGGGGTGACCCTGACCGTCCTGCTCCCACTGTGTTCTGTCTCTCAGCCGCCTGGAGCTCAATGGGATCAAGTCCATCCCCCCAGGTGCCTTTTCTCCCTACCGAAAGCTCCGGAGGATGTGAGTGCCCCTGCTGCCCCCTGGGAGCTGCACAGGGTGGAAGCAAGACCCTGGACCCAGGGCTTAAGCCCGACTCTGCCTCCAGCACCAGATGGCCCTGGGGCGGCCACCAGCCTCCTGCCCCCAGGTTGCCTTCTGTGAAGGGAGGACGGGGTGATGATCCCCACAGGCTTGTGAGGCCCGTGAGCAGAGCTCCCCCTGACTGTATTTGGGAACACTGGCCAGTGGACTTTTTGAGTGTGTGGGGGAGCTAGCCTTCCCATTTCTAACTTGGAAGAAGTCCTTGCCCTCGCATGTGCCTGAGAGATAGAGGGCAACAGGCAGGGCCTGGTGGTCACCAAGGGGTCCAGCCACTCTCTCTCTGCTCCCTTTGCAGAGACCTGAGCAACAACCAGATCGCAGAGATAGCGCCCGATGCTTTCCAAGGCCTCCGCTCCCTGAACTCACTGTGAGTAGCAGTGCCCAGAATCTTGGGTGGTCCAGGGTGACCACCAAGGAGGGGAGGACAAGGAACAGAGTCAGCCTGAGCCACGTTTCTACACAGCCGCCCACTCCTGTTCTGTCACTCTGGCCTCAGTCGGCTTGACCTGGCTGCGTAGTCTACAGTCGCAGTGCCAGCTCCCCTTCTCTGGAAGGGAAGGAGGGAATCAAGGGATGAGAGCTGAGTGCCTGGAAAAACTCACTGCCATCGAGTTGTTTTCTGACTCACAGTGACCCCTCCTTGGGTTTCTGAGGCAGTATCTCTACAGAAGTAGATTGCCCAATCTTCTTTCTGCAGAGTGGCTGAGTGGGTTTGAACTGCCAGCCTTCTGGTTAGCAGTCAAATGCCTTAGGCACTACGCCACCAGAGCTCCCCTGGAAAAACTACACACAGCTATTAAGCCTGGCAACTCTGATGCTCCTCCCATTATCATCAGGTCTTCCCAGAATTCTTTGTGGCAGTCATCTGACCAGGTCCAGTCTTCATGCCAGCCCTTTCTCCCCACAGACCCAACATTCCAGGTCCCTGAGCCTTCCCTGGGGTCACCCACAGGGGCAGTTGGCCAACACCTGCCGTGGTGACATCTGCCACACCATGCTGCTTTTGTCACAGATGTGCACTGAAACCAACATGTGGTGGGTGATGCAAGAACTGTGCTTCCATCTCCATCCAGTATGGTCTTCCTTGAGCATCCACTCAGCAAACATAGCACAGCCTCAAAAATTCGTCTGGGAAATATTCCTTCATCTCTGTGTTTCCAAGACATGCCCAGTTGCACCATACCCCTTGCTCTCTGGGGTCCCATGGCCCTTGTAGAGAAGAAGACACTCTCATGGGGCCGAGTGAGCTCCACGTGGGTAGGGCCACTTGTTACTCTTAGGAATGCGTGTTTTCACTTGCCCCTCGCCCGCACTTGACACAAGCAGGGCAGACTCAGGACCCTGCAAAGTGGATGAGACTGGAACTCCTCTCGGGGGGTGCAGGAGGCTGCCAGCTCAGTGCCCTCTGTGCACACCCTCTTGTCTTGGAGTAGGGTCTGAGGTAGTGGTTAGGGCCATTGAATTGTACACATCCAGGCAATATTCAACTGTGAATGGAACCCCTTGGCTGTGCAGTGCACAGCCTACACAGCTGTACCTGATGGGTTACTGTTGCCAG